CAGGCTTTGGCACTGGCTCTTTCCTCATCCAAGGGATACCCTTTCTCTCAACTCCTACCTTATCTGGAGAACTCTTATGTTACCTGCAAAACCTAATCCCATTGTACCCTTCCCTGCCAGAGTCATAAATTCAATCCTCAACTCAGGGGTACTGGGGGCATTTATGACAAGCTGTGTCATAAATTATAACAGCTTCTCTCAGGATGCGTGGCCAGGAAGTGGGTGATTGTCCCTAATGACCCTCACTCCTCTCTCCTCTCTTCCCAGCTACTCTGACCCATGGATCCCCTGGGCCCAGCCAAGCCACAATGGCTGTGGCGCCACTGTCTGGCCGGGCTGCTGTTTCAGCTGCTGGTGGCTGTGTGTTTCTTCTCCTACCTGCGTGTGTCCCGAGATGATGCCACTGGGTCCCCTAGGTCAGGGCTCATGGCCGTGGAACCTGTCACTGGAGCTCCCAATGGGTCCCGCTGCCAGGACAGCACGGCGACGCCTGCCCGCCCCACCCTCCTGATCCTGCTGTGGACGTGGCCTTTTAACACACCCATGGCTCTGCCCCGCTGCTCGGAGATGGTGCCAGGTGCAGCCGACTGCAACATCACTGCCGACTCCGATGTGTACCCACAGGCAGATGCAGTCATCGTACACCACCGGGATATCATGTACAACCCCAGTGCCGACCTCCCGCCCCCCACCAGGCCGCAGGGGCAGCGCTGGGTCTGGTTAAGCATGGAGTCTCCCAGCAACTGCCGGCACCTGCAGGCCCTGGACGGATACTTCAATCTTACCATGTCCTACCGCAGCGACTCCGACATCTTCACGCCCTACGGCTGGCTGGAGCCATGGTCCGGCCAGCCTACCCACCCACCGCTCAATCTCTCGGCCAAGACCGAATTGGTGGCCTGGGCAGTGTCCAACTGGAAGCCGGACTCGGCCAGGGTGCGCTACTACCAGAGCCTGCAGGCCCATCTCAAGGTGGATGTGTATGGGAAATCCCACAAGCCCCTACCCAGGGGGACCATGATGGAGACGCTGTCCCAGTACAAGTTCTACCTGGCCTTCGAGAACTCCTTGCACCCCGACTACATCACCGAGAAGCTGTGGAGGAACGCCCTGGAGGCCTGGGCCGTGCCCGTGGTGCTGGGGCCCAGCAGAAGCAACTACGAGAGGTTCCTGCCGCCCGATGCCTTCATCCACGTGGACGACTTCCAGAGCCCCAAGGACCTGGCCCGATACCTGCAGGAGCTGGACAAGGACCACGCCCGCTACCTAAGCTACTTCCGCTGGCGGGAGACGCTGCGGCCTCGCTTCTTCAGCTGGACACTGGCTTTCTGCAAGGCCTGCTGGAAACTGCAGGAGGAATCCAGGTACCAGACGGTGCGCAGCATAGCGGCTTGGTTCACCTGAGAGGCCGGCGAGGGGCCTGGGCTGCCGGGACCTCACTTTCCCAGGGCCTCACCTACCTGGGGTCTCACCTACCTGGGGCCTCGCCTGCTGGAGTCTTTGGTGGCCAGGCATGTGACTTACCTGGGACTTCGCATGCCAGGCTTTACCACTGCCAGGAGCCTCCCCTGCTGGGGACCTTGCCGGCTGGGGACGGTGCCTACTGGGAACCTTGTTTGCTAGAGGCTGCACCTACTGAGAGTCTCGGCTGTTGGGGACTTTACCTGCTGGGACCTGGTGCCAGAGACCTCGCCACACTAAATGTCACCTGTGAGGAGCCTCACCTGCTGGGGACCTCACCCTGGAGGGCACCCTGGGAACTGGTACCCTGGAGGCCCTGCCCCCGGGCAATGGTGCAGGCTGGTTAGCTTGTGGTTTTATTGCCGTTGTTAACCACCCATGAGGGGTGCAAACAGACAATGCTGCTACCATTTTCACACGAGAACGCTTCAAGGAAAGGTCCTGTGTCCCCCTCACCCCAGAACAGAGGTTCTCATGCAGGGCGATTCCATCCCCAAGGGCACTTGGCAATGTCCGGAGACATTTTCAGTCGTCACAACCTGAGGAGGAGGATGAGGTCACCTAGTGGGTAGAGGCCAGGGTTACCCCCACACCCCCTACGATGCACAAGTCGGGGACCCTACAACCAACAATGATGGTTCCAAATGTCCAGGAGCAGAAAACCCTGTTCTAGAACCTTCTATGACCCTGGAGATCAAGTCCCTTGCGGGGGGAGTGTTCAGATCCCTCGGGGGTCCTCTCCTCCAGCTGGCTCCCTGCAGTCGGCTCTGGCACCCACCCAGAAGTGAAAGTCTTTTTTCTGAAGATCTCAGGTCAAGAACTCCCGTCAGGCAAGCCCTGCATAGAGCCCTGCTCCACCACTTAGGGCTGCAGATGGGTTCTGACTGTAAATGAGGACATCTGGAACATTCCGGAACATTCTGGGCTTGGGGGAAATTGCTCTCTGGAATGCCCAGGGGGACCTGGCGGTGGAAGGTGGTGGTGAATCCCAGGTGCTCTCTGAGCCTCAATCTCCCTATTTGCACAGTGGACCTGCAGGCTCTGAGGGCTGGGGAGTGGGGCCCGTGCTCTCCAGGACTGAAGATGGGCAGGGCTGGGATAAAGGGACCCTCTCTGCCCAGGGCACAGGGCCCAAGGGAGCTGGATGTGTTGCCCCAGGTGTGTAGGGCAGGATCCCCTAAGGAGGAGGGCAAGGGGAATGTGTGTGACCGTCAGCAGTGGTGTGCACATGGCTGGGGGACACTCGGTGTGACTGTCAGCAGGTGGGTGTCACAAACACATCACTGTGGGTGTGACCTTGGTGTGACTCTGATAGTGCCTGCGGATGTGTTGCGATGCCTGCCTGTGGCTCTATGTAGGTGTTTGTAGGTGGTGGTGATTGCGAATGTGAGACAGAATGTGTGGCCCTGGGAGGCTTTGAGTGTTGGATGGAGCAGGAGCCCCTCTCTGAGTGTGCGTGTCTGTGTGACCACGCAAAGCCGTATCTGCATGGACCTGTGTCCTTGGGTGTGGTGAAGTGGGCTGTGTGTGGCCACATATGGGATTCTTAAGCTGTGTCTGCAAGTGGCTGTGACCATGTGTGTGGCCTTGTGGATGAGGAGGGGGAGGTGGAGTTCTTAAAAGTATTACAGGCCGGGCGCGGTGGCTCAAGCCTGTAATCCCAGCACTTTGGGAGGCCAAGACGGGCGGATCACGAGGTCAGGAGATCGGGACCATCCTGGCTAACCCGGTGAAACCCCGTCTCTAGTAAAAAAATACAAAAAAATAGCCGGGCGAGGTGGCGAGCGTGTGTAGTCCCAGCTACTCGGGAGGCTGAGGCAGCAGAATGGCGTAAACCCAGGAGGCGGAGCTTGCAGTGAGCCAAGATCTGGCCACTGCACTCCAGGCTGGGCGACAGAGCGAGACTCAAAAAAAAAAAGTATTACAGGAGGGGAAACTGAGGCCCACAGAGGGCCAGGGACCCAGGCCAAACATTCCTCCCTGCAGGGGGGTAGGCAGAGACCCTGCGGGATGGTGGGAGGATCAGCATGACCTCAGCCTCCTGAAGAAGGTGCCGGCAGTGGCTCAGCTCTGCAGAGGTGGTAGGTGGCTGATGCCCAGAGAAGTTGAGGAACTCACCCAAGGCCACACAGCTGCCAGAGGTGAAAGTGGGTTTTCTGAAGATCTCAGGTCAAGAACTCCAAAGTCAGGCAAGTCTCCCATAGAGCCCTCCTCCACCACTTACGGTCTGCAAGTGTCTTCTGGCTGTAAATGAAGACTTCCGGAACATTCTGGGCTTGGGGGAAATTGCTGCTCTCTGGAAAACGCCATGGAGGACCTGGTGGTGGAGGGTGGTGGTGACTCCCAGGTGCTCTCAGCCCAGTTTCCCCATCTGCACAGTGGACATGCAGAGGTGCTTGTGATGTCTCCCCGAGGCCTAGGTGGGAGGGTGGAGGAGCATAGAGTGGGGAAAGTGTGGGGGGCCTGGAGAGTCTCTGCCAAACCCGCTGGTGACTCCAGGCCTGAGCCAGCCTTGCTGGGCCCATCACTCACCTGCCACCCACACCACACACCTGGGCCTCTCCCCACTGCCTGGCTGCAAGCCAGGGGTCCCAGGAAGGGATGGGGCCCTCGGGAGGCGAGGCCAGGCCAGGGCTTCCTAACAGGATGGTGTGGGACCAGTTCCCCGGGGGTAAGGAGTTGGAGTGTGAGCAGGTTCCTCTGTACCCTGACACCCCTGGAGCCCCCGTGGTCACCGCCTCTACCTGAGCTGTCAGAATCAACATCTCCCTTTCTCAACTTGTCTTTCTCTCCCTCTGGAATTTCCTGTGAGGCTTAGAGGGACGTGGAAACCCTCCTTGGGTCCCACAAGGACAGAGGCCCAGCCACCTGGCCAATGCTAGGGGACCCTGGCCTGCCCCTCTGGAACCACAGCACCACCCCAAACCTCCATTGCCTCCCGGTATGCCCCGGATCTCACGTGTGGTTCATGGCACACCCAGCCCAGCCCGTGGGGCCTTCTCCCTCCTGAGTGGCAGCTGCCCTTGGCTTCCAGCCCTGGGCCCCAAGGGAAGAGAATTTTCCAGCAGGCTGGCAGCTCTATCACCCACCCAGCCCAGGCTGAGGGAGGAACTGGGGGGTCCAATGAGGGCAGAGACCCCAGTGAGGAGGTCCTCGTGATCCCCTACTCTGGGCTCAGCTCTTTGGCAGGGAGATCCCACCCGGCACTAGCCTGGTGAGCCCTGCTCAGAGAGGGCCAGGAAATCTCTCAGGTCACACAGCAATTTCAGGATAAGCACACACTGTTTCTGGCAATGGGCTGCAGCTCCTCTTCCAGATCTCAGTGGTCGGAGACTGGTCCAGCTGTGGATCTGATAGCCAAGGGGCCTGGGTTGCAATCCCAAACCCCACCTCTAGCCCTCCTGACTCCTGGCTGTGTGAACAAGGTGGACTGGGGTTGGATGTTACAGGAGGAGGGAACCAGTTCAAAGGACACAAGGGATTCACGGTGAGGGCCAATCGGATGTGGGCCGTGAGCTGCCAGGGCAGATCTTGGGGACAAGGCCAGAGCTCAGTAGGTGACAGTGCCAGTGCGGTAATGACCACATTTGAGTGGGGTGGGGTGACCTCACCAGGAATCTGTCTTCTGCCGTGTTGTGTCAAAAGGAGCATGTGGCCGGGCAGTGGCTCACACCTGTAATCCCAGCACTTTGGAAGGCTGAGGTGGGTGGATCACTTGAGGTCAGGAGTTCAAGATCAGCCTGGCCAACATGGAGAAACTCCATCTCTACTAAAAATACAAAAATTAGCCAGACATGATGGCATGCACCTATAGTCCCAGCTCCTTGGGAGGCTGAGGCAGGAGGATCACTTGAACCCGAGAGGCAGAGATTGCAGTGAGCCGAGATTGGGCCACTGCACTCCAGCCTGGGAGACAGTGCGAGACTCCATCTCAAAAAAAAAAAAAAAAAAAAAAAAAAAAAAAAAAAACAGGAAAGAAAGAAAAAAATAGCATGGCATTCATTTCCAGTGCCTGTGGAGGGACAGGGCATGCAGTGAAGGGCACGTGTGGCCAGATTGACCAGGATTCCTTAACCACCCAATAAAGCATTTATCAACTTCTACTTTCTTGCTGTTGGGGTTTAAGCAGCATCTGGCCTCAGGTGTGATTGGAGCTCAGCCCAGAGTGTGGACTGAGCTCCCAGGAGCACCATTGCCTCAGCCAGCCCAGCCTCCCATTGCCTGGTGATCACAACTGTGGAATGGGCAGAGCCCTGTGGCTCCACTAGAGACCTACCCTTGGGTTTCTCACTCCAGCTTCCCTCATCTCTTGCTCTTCTAGGTTTTCTGTCCTCATGAGGCTGTCAGCCCAGCAGGGGAAGGAAGGGACACAGTGTGGCCTGAGCTAGGATGCGGGAGACAGAGGCAGTTGGAGCAGCCAGTGGAAGGAATTGATCTGGCTGAAAAGGCAAGAGAGCCCCTATCTTTGGAAGCTCCCGGGAGGAGCTGTCTGCACCGAGCCTTGAAGAATGGGAACTAGGCAGGAGGCAAGGGGCAGAGAGTACAGTTGTCCAGCTGGAGACAGCCTGCTCCATTTGAAACTCCAAGTGACTCACAGCAATGAACGCTCTCTCTCAGGACCTCAGTCTTCACATCCATAGGACGGCTGTGTGGGACGGAAGCCTTGCCCATTCAGGCTTGGCTGGGGCCCCACTCTCAAAGGCATGTGAACCAGAGCAACTCCATCTTGAATAGGAGCTGGGTAAAATGAGGCTGAGACCTGCTGGGCTGCATTCCCAGGTGGTTAAGTCATTCTAAGTCACAGGATGACATAGGAGATCAGCACAAGATACAGGTCATAAAGATCTTGCTGATAAAACAGGTTGCAGTAAAGAAGCCGGTCAAAACCCACCAAAACCAAGATGGTGATAAGAGTGACCTCAGGGCATCCTCACCGCTACACT